ACATAAATTTCCATGGACAATTGTTTAATTACGGTAAAGAATTGAAAATATGACGAAATATGGTAGAATATGCAAGAAAAAAATCTGACGATTATCAAGGCATTACCCATTACCGTCTCTTCATAACGCCTCTGCCAGAACAGAACAGTCAGAAACCGTCAGTTATAAATTAATAAAACTACTGAACACAATTAATTCAGGTTTCCAACTTTGTTAAATTTACATTACGTCCATCCTAGAGTAAATAGTACGTTTTCAGGTAAAATCCAAATAAGCTTTATATTTTGTCATACTCGTTTAAATGTTGCCTAAATAGACAGTAACCCCACGACCCTTTATATTCATAAATATCATTGGTATTTATTTGCTTTATTAAAGCAGAAAATATTGAACGTGTGCGTGCAAAGAAAATTTTGTAAATGGTAAAATATTAAAATAACTAGGTAGATTTCCTCTGTATATTGAATGATGTTAGGATAGCAAAATATTGGTTAAAGTTACACGGCGATAAGAGTCAAAACTGCATTTTAACAACTATTCTAAGTTGTCAAAGAAATGATCTATCAAATAACTCAAATGTTGTCAACTGGTCATAAAAATTTGGTGACATGTTACGAAATGCTGGATTTGCCTAAGTATGGTTATTTCCAAAATCGGTTAGTATAAAAAAAATGTATACCAGTATTCAGATCACGTCTCAGGGATGTATATGTAACCCAATGGCGAGCAGACATGGCGTTATGCTCTTCTTTGCAATGGTATTCCAATGTTAAAATTAATATGAAATGTCTATTTATCTTAATTTATAAGACAATGCAAAACACAAATCAGTTCTTGCAAAAATCAGTTCCCATCAACTACGTATTGAAGCTAGAAGACACAGGGGTATTGAAAGAAGTCAGAGAAAATGCACATTATGTACGTCCGGAGATATAGAGGATGCATTTCATTTTATATTCATATGTGCAATTTATAGTGATTTTAGAAGTATGTACATTTCAAGATACTTTAATGTTAATCCTAGTGTTTATAAATTCATACAATTGTTAAAAGCAGATGGGAAAATTTTGGGTTTAAAAGAAATTAGGCCAAAAATTTTGTATTAAGCAATTTTTTTTTAAAGCGGACAATTTTTATAGTTAGAATCAATATGATTTATTAAAAAGTAGTAAATTTTTTGGATTCTCAAAACAACTTTTTTAAAATATGTCATAAATTTTTTGAAAATTAAAATGATTGAATTTTTTAAAAGACATGATTTCTTTTTGTAAAGATTTTAATTAAAATTTTACATTTATATGAAATTTTTGGAGAGGGTTTGACCCAAGTAGAAAATTTAAAGGGATATGTTCCCTTTTTGTTTTTTGTTTTCGGAAAAAGTTTTAATTTATAAAACAAAAATGTCCCGTATTTTTTTTTGGGATCACATACCCTGTGCAAGTTGCCCGTAATAGATTTTTAAATTTAAAAATATGTTTGTTAAAATTTATGGAAAGGGCCCTTTTTAACACCCACACCCCAGTTAAGTGTTTAAAAATATTTAAAAATTATAACTTTTTCCTATCGTATTAATAAAAAAAAAATCGCAAGAAATTTCATTCCCTAAAAATTTAAATATTAAAAAATGTAAATTTTTGGATGGTAAATAAAAACTATTCTTCTAGGGTTTTAGTTTAAATTCCCCCGTTTTTCCCAAAGGGATTTGGGTTTTTAAAAAATTCTTAAACTTTATGTATTAAATTTAAACCCTTTAAAACCCCAGCGGACACTCCATGGGGAAAAGCGTATTATGCGTACAACCACCATTATAAATTCCCCGGATATGACTTATAATTTTGATCTAGTTAAAAATTATTTCTTTATTGTTAAGTAATATTTTTTCCACATGAACAAGGATAATGACAGGAATACGTGTTTGATAATAAAAGTATAAATAAGAAAGACAGAAAACCATTTGACACAATTCGTTTTAGAAAACAATATGTTTAATTCAAGTATATTAGGTTAAATGTTAACACACGTGCGATTAAAATGGCTCCACTATTGCGAAATTATTTACTCGAGATTTTATACATTTTGTTCCGAGATCTTGTTTAACATTAAAACATTTTAAAAGTTTGAATAGACCTTTGAATGAAGACATAAAAAATATTATAATATACATAATGCAAGTATGATTGAATGATTTGATATATAATCGAACGCATAATTACAAAGGTACAACCGTTATTACTTATTTGATATAATCAAACACGTGCACTATTCTTCCAATACAAATTATACATTCCGGTAATATAAGAAGCTCTATCTGATTGCATTTTTATTGATAACCATTATTAAATGGTTTAACTTACCGTCAAACGCTTCAGTTTGTAAAGATATATTTATTCTAATTTAAGGAGAAGAAATGACACATCAATGATTGCCTATTACATAACTGACAAAAAAATAAATTATCAATATTTAAATCACAACTGTCTTGAACACTTAGTGAAAATACAGTTAATAATATAAGTCGGAATAATAATTTTTTATGCTCCCCGAAGGGTGAGCATATAGTCGCCGCTTTGTCCGTCGGTCCGTCTGTCTGTCCGCTCTCACGGAACAGTAATAAATGGATAGAGGAACAATAGGTATCTGTTCTTTATTTTTGATGTCATCCATTCCGTAATGTTTTTATGTGGCTAAATAGAGAGAACAATAGAGTAGCCACATTATTGTTGTCCCGTTAGAACGTCCGTCCGTGCGTCCGCTATTATTATCCAGGACATAACTCTGAAACAACAAGAGGTATCAACATAAAACAATGTATGTAGATAGATCACATTCACTACTTAAGAATCGTAACTCTGTCTTGCCTTATTCTGGAGTTATTGCCCTTTGTTCATTTTTACACGTTGAACTTTGTCCGGGATATAACTCTAAAACTATAAAGATATCAACATGAAACTGTGCAGATAGAGAGATCTCATTAGGTAAAAGTGCAGTGCAAAAGAATGGCAACTCTTTCTTGCCTAATTTTGGAGTTATTGCCATTTGTTCATTTTTATAATTTCAACGTTATCCGGTACATAACTCTTAAACTATAGGTGATACCAAAATGGAACTTTGTAGATAAATAGATCTCATTGAGAAGATGTGCAGTGCACAAGAACCATAAGTCTGCCTTGCTTAATTTGTGGAGTAATTGCCTTTTATTCATTTTTAAAATTTGAACTTTGTCCGGGACATAACTCTGAAACTATAAGATATATCAACACGAAACTTTGTAGGTAGATTTATCTCATTGGTTAGAGATGCGGTGCAAAAGAACCGTAACTCTGTCTTGCCTTTTTGGAGTTATTGCCCCTTGTTCATTTTTTCATTTTGAATTTTGTCCGGGACATAGCTCCAAAACCATAAGTGGTATCAACAAGAAACTTTGTAGATAACTAGATCTTATTAAATAGAAGCGCAGGGCAAAAGAACAGTAAAACTGCATTGCTTAATTTTTGAGTTATTTCTCGATCTTTGTTCATTTTACACTTTGAACATTGTCCAGGATACAGTTCTGAAAGTACAATAGATATGAACAAGACACTTTGTAGGTTGATAGATCTCATTGGGTTAATGTGTAGTGCAAAAGAACCATCACTCCTCGTTGTCTTATTTTGGAGTTATTGCACTTTGTTCATTTTACATTAACTATGTTCAGGACATAACTATGACACTACAAGAGGTATCCTTTTCTGTGTCCAAACCCTATTCGGGGAGCATCATCCTGTTCAACCGGTTCTTGTTTAAAATTATTTATCAAAACATAATTATAATAATTATGCTTAACGAAGGTGGTCAGATTAAAATCGCTGCAATACATGCTTTTTAAAACACTCCCATTTGTTAGAAAATTAAAGAAGCATTTACACAAAAGTTACACAATAGGATGCGGAATTCATTTTGAAATGAAATGATGTACGTATAATTGAACTATTTTGAAGTAAATATAAGACCATGTGTGTGATTCTTACGTCACTGCCCTTAACCGGGTGATTATAACGCCGCCGCGTAATAATCACACGCGTGCTAATATTACCACGCAGGCGATTATTACGCGACACTGACTTTCTCGCACCGTGCGTCAAACATATATTCATTGTGCATATGAGTCAACATAAAGAAAACACATATCAATGTGCAATACAGATAAAATGAGTATTGAAGACTCGTTTGTTTGTTTGGTATGGATGTTACGGAAATTTTAAATAGGCCTTTAAATGATTATAACCCGATGGTAGGTCCATTTTAACGGCTTTCCTAAAAACAAATTTCTCCGCACGTGACCAGCTACTAAGCCCTTATCATTTCTGAATCAATGATACGTTTCAATTAATTGGGATAAATAATTGAAATAAAATATTTACACATTTCATTTTGACATGTTTTAAAAATTTGCATTCACATGTACTTGTGAGAGCATGGCGAAGTTTCTAAACGTAAAGAGAGAATAGTACATATTTCTTCAATAAGGTTTACAAAAATTTAATATATCAAAGTTTGCACTTTGACATTTTCGATGACAAGTATAATTGACGTCTATATCAGAGCAAAGTGCATTCGTTATTTTTTTCGCTGTGATTTAAGCCTTGGTATAATTGTACCAAAAATGCAAGGAAGTTACAGCTGAAATTTGTCTGCGCTGGCCATGATGGAAAACCCCTTCAGTTTCCTTCAGCAGACTAAGTTTTGAATTTAATTTCTTTACTTATTACACCTAATTTGTAGAAATATCAACACGAGCTTTACATAATCAATCACTATCAATACTTTAGCATAGATAATTGAGTCCGGAACTGATATGATTTAAGTTTAAACTAACTTAAAAGTTTCTATTTTTCCATTTTGAAGCCGTAGTTTTCTCGAAGTTTCAATAGCACAAGACCGACATAGGGAATATAATGTTTTCCTCTTTCAAAGTATATGCTATTTATTATATAAATTGTAAACAGAAATATATAACTTACCTCCAGCCCATTGTCCAAATGTTATTTGAAAATAAAGTATTAAAGGAAATAAACACAACAAGATGTATCGTGCCATCTTAAATCTTCCACTCTTGACGGACGAATGAAGAGTTATGTGTAGCTACCCATTTATTAACGGTTTGCTGGATATGTATACTGTAGAAAAAAGAGGCGTTACAAGAAAGACAGTGTAAGACAGAATAATATTGTACATTTTCACAGCTTTTTTTCAAATATCTTTATCACCCGTGCCATCTTACTTTATCCTCCGAGCTCCTGCTGGCCTTTGCAAAATTCCTTTGTATGCGATTCCTTTGTAAACATGGCACAAACATTTTTTGATTTTCTCTTGACAAGAGGAAAATATCCCATAAGATGCTTTTACTATGGCATCTATATCTGACCTGATTACTTGGTATACCTAGAATAGTATTTAACTTAAAAAAGACAATTAAAGTGTATGATTCTATTAAAGATAAGTCAAGAAAAGGGAAACTGGATATAGTAACAATATAAAGCAGCAGGAGAGCATTGTTAGCACTAAGTAGAGACATTATAGGAAACATTGCATCCAAAATGAATGAATATAGACAGAAAGATGTTTCTAAAGGGACATTACAATTCAATTTGAATGGCATGGTTAACTAAGACGTGCTTGAAGAAGAATTTGAAGGATGTTTACAGGAAAAACTGTGAAAGCTTGGATGCTGAAGGGCAATTGAATAAAGTGATAAAAGCAGATACAAATCATCAGATTGTGAGACAACCTTTAATTTGGAGCAGGTGAGTTGAGCCCCTAGAACCACAAGAAAAATTTCTGTTATTAGCTGCAATTAATAGTATTTAATGTACACTACTGTATTTGAGAACTATAGAATGACCATGTTTTACCACTTTTACAGTTTTCAGTGTAGATTAGTTAGTTCAAAATTCGACCAAAGATTTGTAAAGCTACCACTAACATTCTGTCATGATTTAATCCTGTATAGTACTTTGTATATAAATTTTAATCTGACCGTTTTTCTTACCCCAATCCGAACTTTTCCGAATATATAAATTGTTAAAACCACTACAAAATTTTAAAGAAAAAGAGACTTCGGTATAATACAAAAGAACCATAATTTTCAGGATTTCTAATAAACAATTTTATGAACACCTTTAATGTACATTGTAAGAACAAATAAACTACATATTATATATAATATTATATCTAAGGACGGTACGCGCAGCACCCATTTGCATAAACGTTGGTAACTTTAACCACTTGGTTAAATCCGTGGTTAAGTTAACTTTTGAGTTAAACTTTGGTTAACCGATTATATAAATATTTAGTTAAATTTAACCAGCGTAAATTTCTGGTTAATGTAACCCATGTGTCGGAGGTGGGTTAAATTTTAACCAACCTTTAACCAGAAATGAAACGTCTGCCGTTTGTACGCTTCGTATCAACTTTCGTTCAGTTTTGCATCGAAATAAACAACAATCGGTATTATATGATGGCAACGATATTTCTCAAAGTTCTATAAACTTTTCCAGAGCCGATGTCGCGTAATTATCTAGTTTTCTAACATATTGGAGTGTTTTGAAAAGCATGTATTGCAGCGATTTTTTTTATTAATTTGTAAAAACCTTCGTTATAATGAAGAATTATTATTCTGTTCTGATTTTAAAAAATCCTTAAATTAGAATGAACTTATCTTTACAAATCGAAACGTTTGAAGGTTAGTTAAACATTAAATAATGGTTATCAATATAAATGTAATCAGATAGGGGTACTTATATTACAGGTTTGTATAATTTATATTAGAAAAATAGTGCACGTGTTTGATTATATCAAGCCGAAGTAATAACGGTAGTACCTTGATAATAATGGATTCAATTATGTATATTTTCATATTATTTTCTACGAAATCATTTTTTGCGTCTTGATGTATCTTCATGAAAAGGTTTATTCAAACTTTTAAAATATTTTGATCAAAATCTCGTAAAAAATGTATAAAGCGCCCGAGTAATAATGACGCGACAGTAGAGTAGTGATTATCAAAGGGTTGATTTATATTCAACCAAACATACTTCAAGTTGAATGAAACATATTATTGTTGTCCGAAATGAATTGAGTCAAATGGTTTTCTTTCCTTTCTATATATCCTTTATTATCCTTCACAAGAGCATCTTAAAAAACATGTTTTGCAAAGAATTTAAAAAAGGTAAAACATGCGTTCATTCATTATTGCGTTTATTTTTTTCTGAGATAAACGTATTCCTGTCATTAACCTTGTTCATGTAGCAAAATATTGTTTAATTATAAAGAAATAATTTTTAACTAGATTAAAACTATCAGTGTCATGTCCGGTGAAATTTGTAATGTTGGTTGTATGAATATTACAAGGTGTTCGCTTGGCGTGAATGTTAATTAAGCATGAAACACAAAGCATACAGTTTGAAACGTTTATACAGTTGGATACTTAGATTAAACTAGAAGTAATTGAAATTAGAAGTATATAACATTTATTTACCATGACAACATACACATTTTGTATGCTTATTTTAGGGAATGAAAGTCTTGCGATTTTGTTTTACTTAATACGAATAGGAAAAAGTCATATCTTTAATATTTTCACACTTTACTGTGTGTGGGTGTTATAAGGCCTTCCGTATAATATGAAAAGAACTGATTATTCATTTGATCTATTATTAAAACTTGCACATGTATATGATAAGAAAAAAGTAAAGACATACTAAAAGGAAAATGGGCTATCACGATATTCAACATTCTGTTTCTCATAGGCAAGGTTTCTTTAAAGCCACTGATACAGTAGTTGTATTCTAAAAAACCATTACCCGACTGTTTTTTAGCGATTAAACAGTAATTGATAATGATAGATATGTAGGAGTAAATATTTTTAAAAATCTGCTAAAAATATAAAGACTTCTCCACTCTTTTTATAAATTGAACATTACCGATAGATACCAAAGGATATTATTGGATATTAAGAGTCAATGGGGTTACTGACTATTCAAGCAACGTTTTGCAATGAATAGGAAAACAAATATGACAAAATGTAAGCTTAATTTGAATTTTACCTGAAAACTTACTATTTACTCTAGGATGGACGTAATGAAAATTTAACAATTGTGTTGTGTTCAACAGTTTTAAAAATTTATAACCTAACAGATTTTTGGCTGTTCTGTTCTGGTTAAGACTGTGCACGGCGGCGTAATTAAGACACGGTTATGGGTAGCGCCTTGATAATCATACGTAAGACTTTGTATTTAATGAAATATATATAATACCCGAATGATACATTTTTTGTTATGAAAAAGATATCTGCGTTCATGGTATATTTGGTTTGTAGAGTACTACTAGTTTTGCAACACATGGGAAAAATCGTGTTTGGTAGACAACAAGATTTTCTTTTATAATGCTGCACGTAACATCGCTTTTCATTGGATAATCGTGACGTTCATAATGTATTAAGAACGTAGCTATTGACTTCGTGTTTCTGTCTTATTTCGGTAAAGTCTATTTTAGCAATTCGCTGCCAGACAAAAGACTTTTAAAATAAGAAGTGCAGTTTTGGGGCTTGTCCTAACAAACACATATCGTAATACCGTTGGTGATTTACAACTGATGTCATGATATGATAATTACAATTATAAACTTCAAACTCATATAAAAAGACGTTTTATTCTAGTGGAGAACAAGAGCTTTCGGTGGGACAACTTGCAATATTACCAGGCTTGTGATTAAACTATTTCATTGTTAATCGTTTTTAAATCTACATGAAGATATGTTGTTAAAAACGTCTCTGAAATCATTGTTTTACTGTTTTACGAACAATGATTTGTAAAAATGTCTTACTCTTTACCATTATTATTTAACAAAGCTATCTGTTATATGTAGTTTGATTTACTGTAAATCCGGTATTTTTCGCGATGTTTTAGTTTTCGCTATTATTCGCAATTCGGCTGCGTCGCGAATTCATGATTCCGCGTAAATTTTGTATCATAACATACATTATAAAAAATAAATCCGATAACAATTATTTTCGAATTGTTATTAAGTTTAATAATGAATACAATAACTGTTTACAAAATAATTAATATGTGCAATGTTTTATTTACATCCTAATAAAAATATGAAGCTTTATAAGCAGATTTTTCCGATTACTTTTTTCCTCATGAATACATGTATATCAAGCACAAAAAGCTAACATTATTTTGAGACAATATCTACAAATCTTGCCTTTTAATATCTACAAATTTTGCCTTTTACAGACAAATGTGAACACCTATTGTTTAGATAGCAATAGTTTTACGGTAAAACTATAATCAACGGACAATTTACGTAGTGTAGATTAAGTACATGTATCATAAACAAGTATATTACACCTTCATACAAACATTTAACGTTTTATCAAATACGCTTTTTGCAAACAATAACCAAATTTAATGAATGATAAGGAAACCCGTTCATAACAAGTCAATTACATGTTTGTAGGTATTTTTTGTATATAAAATAAATGAATAACTGTCTCTTATTGACACTATTAACATTTACCGTGAATAAGTGCGGCACAGTATGGAAATTAATGTTAAGCTACTGTAAAGCCAATCTTATAAAAAAATGATAATAATGGTTAAGTTTTTTTTATACATAAAACAACTATCGAAACGCCAAATTACCAAATCAGACGTTAATTTTTTTATGCCAAAATAGGATTAATAGATCTTTTTTTCGCCTAGCCCTACACGCTTGGGCTTAAATACACCCTCCTGGGTTCCTGCAGATACTATGGCACGAAAAAGGTGATACTCCCCTTTAATTTATAACATAAAATTTTGAAGGCTAAATGTTGCCATCTTTATCAATATCAAACTATCTTGCAAGAATATAACATTCATAAACTTAATATGACAACTCACGGATGTTTTCCTTACGGTTAAAGCACCGGACATTACCTTTTTGGTTACAAAGCAAGCCAAATACTTCCAAATTAACTAAAGAAAACATAACGTTTGATTCGATTTAAAGTAAACATTACAGTTTACATGTATGATAGTAAGTTGTCTAGGTCAACAGAAAATGCGAGTGATGCATGTGATTTCAGAGATCTATGACCTATATTTAGTAGACTAGTTAATTTGTA